TTGTATTGTTTTAGAAAAAATTTCACATGACACTCAAAAGAAAGTATCAGTAATTGTTATACTTGAGCGAGTGCTTGAGAAAAAGTATCAGTACTCGTACTCTTGTCTTGAAAAAATGGTATCGCTGCATCGCTAAATTATTATCTAGGAAGGAGAAAACTTTGTGACAGATGGACGCACAGAGTGACCTTCACACCCAGCCATGTACACAGCAGTCACAATCCTGAATCTGACTATTTAAATGATTAGCAATCAGCCAATCAATATGTTCCAGTGAAGCCTGCTAAGCAGTTAATTACTGAAATCCAAAATCCTTATCTCCGGTGAGACCAGGGCTCTTGTACTGGTCAGTCCTACACTGTCCATTCTATTCTACAGATAATCTGAGACAGTGATAGGCAACAGGTGGCCCAGAACAGAGTCGCATCTCACCCCACCCCCAACACACACCACACTGACAATGGACACATATGCAGTGCAGATGCTAGTCTGCATTTCATCTGGTTCACCAGCAGGCTTGTGATGGTCACAGTCGGGCATATGTATTATGAACAGTAGAATCTATACGTCCACATTCACCTGATTAGAATGGCCAGGCATTTACCACTGAAGTTATTAAACTCCCCAGCAGTGGGGGGAATGCAAGTGAGGATTTCAGGCTTAAAACCCTCAAGTGCAAAACACAGGATGTGGAAATGAGGTGGAATAAGCATGGCAGGTCCTCTACAGGACATATCAGCCTATAACTGGGGACCCCTATAATGGGGTCCATAGCACCCCATAAATACATATAAATAAAGTGCATAATACAGATAGCTAAGCCCTACCAACTGCCATCCCACTGTTCAGTGAGATGCTTCTGTGACCTGTAAGTACAATCCCTTTACATTTTTGAAAATTAAAATGCCTCTGACAAAGTGAAACTAGATCAGGGAGGGGCACATAAGAAGCTTTAATGAATATTACATTTAACAGAAAGGATCTTCTTTTGTCTGCTCTCTTTTCAAACTTTTATTGTTCAAGGCTAAGTTTACCTTTCAGGACATGTTCCATGTTAGACCCATATTCTCCCTACAGGTTGGGGCTCTGATTTGAATTCAGCACGGCTGCATCATCCACTCGCAGATCCTTTGATTTGTGAATGGAGAAATTACAAGTTCCATCAGCCTCTGTGGCAGACGGGGTAGTAGTTCTAAATAGAACGAATGATGGAGTGACATCACTGCACTTGTAGTCCATTCATTCTTCCTCCTGTCCATGGTGCTGAACGTCAGGACCTCAGTATGGACTTGGACCGGAGGAAGAACCTGCAGGAGCCAGAGCATTGTACCTGTGATCCACTGATTGCAGTTGTAATCCTTTACTGGCTCCAATGCAAAAAAAAAGAACATGTTTTCTTTCATGAGGAAGTGTAGATTTGTATTTTTGTTTTTTGCCTAAAAAGTGGATTTTAGCTTTAAAACTAGGGTACAGATTACATGAGGTACAGGTTCACTTTAAGATTCTCCACTCAGGCCTAGACAGTCATGTGAAAAGGAAAAAAGGTAAGACTGCTTCATTGCCCTGTAAGTGTATTCTCTTTAAAATTCAGGTGCCTCTGACAAAATGAAACCAGATCAGAGAGGGTCACTGAAGGGCATTTCTGACTAATAAATATAATAAGAAACATCATATGGTATTTGTATCTATGCAGGACTTTCAAATATAGTACAGTCTCACTTTAAAAAAGTCAAAGGATCGTAAAGAAGACTTGTTATTTTAAAGTATTGTCTACATATGACCTAGCACTGAAACGTGTATTTCCATGAACATATGTCCTTGCTGGCAGGAAAGGTCGTAACCTTTAATGAAATAATCTTTAGTAAGAAAGATCATCGATATGAAATACTGTTCACTAATCTGGCGAGAACTGGCTGATGTCTTCGAGTAGCTTTAATAAATAAGTCCACAATTTTGGCAAATTTGCTTCAAATTGATTTATTGAATCACTTCACACATTTCTTTCATTTACTTCTGTTTTATTATAATATTAGGAATCTGCATTCAAATATAAACAAACATGTCTAACGCTGGGTATACGCAGTTCGAATTTCCTATTGGACGTTCATACAAAATATCTCATCAGAACATTTGATAATGCCATCAGAGACTTGACGAATGTCTTTACAAATTTAGTTTGGTTTTAACATTGAATTTCGGAATAAATGGAGTTTCCTGAATGAAAACCACATTCACTGTTAGAATGTCATTCGTCCGAAAACATTTTCCATCCTGCTCCTTTGATTTTTTTCCCGTCACTACATCAAAATCACCATTTGACTCCATTAACTATTAGAAAATGAATGAATGTTCTGAAAACATTTTTTTGAAAGAATCCTGACTGTGCATACCCAGCTTAATTGTGTCTTTTCCCCCCAAATTCTCCAAGTCTGTGGATGAGATACCGTCCAATGTGGTTTTGTTGAAGGGCGATAAAACATTTTAATGGGCAAGCTCCTTTATAGCCATTCAACAAAACCACATCGCATCAAAAACATTGAGTGCAATCTTCCATTTACTGTATATCCCTATATTTCCAGTAGGCACAACCAACTTTATTTTATTTTGATATAAAATGGCACAAATGTATACGATACAATTAGAATAAACTCTGCAATGGACATAGGTATTGGAAAATGATTTAAAACAGAATGTTTATTTTCCATGTAAAGTAAAAATAAAACTATGCATGCAATAGATGAAACGATTGTGTTGGCTGAACCAGTAACTAAAATGTATGTAATCGCTAACAATCAACTTCTTTTATTTGCATCCTTTTGGTCTAAATATACAATTAAGTGTTTTGTTATATCTGTTTGATAAGTGCAAAAAATACCTGTTGATGCTGCTGGATATCCACTGCTGCCCTGTGTATTGTACAATGTCATCTCAAGTATTATCATCCTTTCCCAGTTCACTTCTGTGAACTACAGAACACATCCCTCTACTGATGTGAATGTGCACTATGTAAAGCGCTGCGTAAATTGTCGGTGCTATATAAAGAAATGTTATGGAGATGAGAAGAAGGGGAGGTGTTCTGTAGTCATAACACACTTCCTAGCCTAGGGTGACAATACTGCTGCTTCATAGATACACTGCAGTGAGTGAACATTGTCACTGTAGGGCAGGGAGTGTATTACTGGCAAGATCACCTGATTAAAAAAAGAAAAACAAAGCCTGAAAAGAGGAATGCAGCCATCACATCTAAGTACTGGTAAGCTGCAATATATCTTGATTGGGTTTAGATACACTTTGAAGTGGCCATACACATGTAAATTTTTCCATAAATTCCATCCACTGAGAATCACTCAAATGATCACCAGAAACTAAGTTATCTACTAGTTGGATCGACCATCAGAATTTGGTGGGTTGTGAAAATTGAGCAATAAGGTGATTTCTTCAATAGAGTTTATTGAGAGACTGATTTGAAAACACAATATAAAAGACGATGGCCATTGTCGGTGAAAGCGATTTTTCCACAGGGTTAGAACGGGACTATTTCAATCCAATCTCATTGTGGTCGACAGAAACCATTTTCTTTCTTAGATTACTTTATGATTTTGACAATAAATGGAATAGAAAGTTCGGTTACTCTGTGAAATTGCCAAGTGTATGGCCAGCCTTTGAGAATTTACTGATGGATTGCATTTCTATCATTCCTGCCCATATAATGTTTGCTTCCACTCTGTGTATATAGAAGATATTCTTTGATAACAGAAGTGATATCACATCATAAGCTATAAGAGAAAGGATATTACGGTTAGAAATATTCTCTTCTAGCGAATATTTGTATGCATCGGCAAAGCAGGAGTCACCGCCCATTCTCTTTTCTTATAGTTAAAGTGCCCTGTCACTATCTGGCCATTAAAAAAAAAAGCCCAGCCCTCTAAAGAAGCTCTACTGTACACATCTGTACTTACCTTTCATGGAGGCCTTTGTTCATTGCTCCCTGGTTACTGCAGGTATTCAATCCTTCAAGGTGGGCCGAATACCTGCTCTCCCCACCACATGCAGTGGTTCCTCCTGCCGCTTGTAGGTCCTTTAGTGACGTACAAGCGAAGGGGAAAAACAACTGCGTGCAGCAGGAGGAGCGGGTATTCACATATTACGAAGTGTGTGAATACCTGCAGCAGCCAGAGAGCAGTGAAGAAACAGCGTTTCCAGACCGCTGAAAAGGTATACTCGCTTAGAATTTCCTATAAATGTTCATATGAGAAACTGACAATTGTTGTTTGAAATTTTGTTTGTTTTTAACATTCGATTTTGGAATGAATGGAGTTTCCTGAATGAAAACCACATTCACTGTTAGAATTTTGTTAATTCGAGAAAAAAAAGTCATCCTGCTCCTTCAATTTTTCCATCATTGTGGTAAACAAAATGATCACCCCCCATTAAGAGAATTGAAGGAATGTGCCGAACACAACTGTTTCTGAACGAAATTCCAACCTTTTACCCCGCAGCTTAATTATAAATAGCTTCTTTACAGGGCTGGGCTTTTTTTTATTTCTGACCCTGTGGGGATAGGTTCACTTTAAGATTTAATAAAAGTAAAACTCCCATTCCAGCTTTAAAGACAAAAACTATTTACAAAAACTTTCCATTCTCACTTTATTCAAATAATGGTTAAAGTAAAACCCTGGCAAACATGATCCAGGGTTAAAGCTGGGTAAGCAAAACCCAAAGGGGGCAACTGGGATACACATAAGTCGCCCCACAATATCCTGCACAAGCTCTTTGGTGGCACCAGTACGGCATAGGAGCCATATGGACTTGTATCAAAATAGCAGACGATTCAAACACTCATAGGCCATCTTGCTGTAGGTATACTGTATATATAATCATATATGTCACGTGTGTCACCCTAATAGTGTTTTCAATTCTGATAAGTGAGGGGAAAAAAAGTGAGGGATATAAACCCATATAACGAAACACAAGAGCAGATCTTACAGACAGAATCGATTTTAGGAGATTTGTTCTTCTCTAGCTTGAACACCATGTATGATACTAGAAAGCTGCTGCCACGATTGTTTCCCAGAAGATTCATCCAGATCTCTGTGGAGCTTCAGGCTATTGAAACCGGAGCACAAGCTGTCCACATGACTCTGCATGAGGCGGATTTCATCGTTTTTCTCTGCAATCTAGGAAGAATAAAGACATTTGTTGTCTAATGCACAGAATTGCTAGCATGCTGTACTGTTGTGTGATGTGGGCAGGATGGTTTATTATTAAACACAGAGGGGATGGCATCATTGTAGAAATGTGCATGGATGGCTGACTTGTGATCTTGAAGCACATAAAACATGTGACAGTTTGATGTCCAGTTTTGGCTGTTACTGTCACATACAGTATATAAAGTATTCCCCAACACTCACATGTTTTACCTCATTCACTGAGGCATGACATGTGTCACCTCTAAGTTATATTTATGCTTTTACATTTCCCCACATTTTTAAATCATAAAAATAATGTTAAAAATATAGCTTTTTTGTGTGGTTCAGGGGTGAGTGTGGTGGGCTTGGCCGCCCATATTGTGGGGCTAGGCCTGACCACTCACCTCGACTGTAGTGTTGGTTTTACGTTAATTAACCTAAAAAAAAATGCCTTAAGGGCGGGGACAAACGTTGGTACTGGACCTGATATTACAATGTGTTACCATGTTTAGATTATGAGTCTCACTGTCTGTTGTTTTAATATTCTGCGGGGCCATGTGGCCTTCGCGTGTACTTCTATGCAATGTACCCCACCCTTTTTGCCTACAAATAAAGAATTAAAAAAAAAATATATATACATTTCATATAAAACTTTGGCTTGATGAAAAAGCTAATTATAATTTTAACAGAGAGTTCTGAAGTCAGTTGTACTACCATAAGAACATACATTCCTGTCAATGTAGAAAAGGCTGATGTGGAAACCTGTTATCTGACTACTGCTCTACTACACCATACTAACTGCCAGCACAGATGAACTAGGACTCGAACAGGCTTTATTATTATATATACACATGAAAGTATAAGGGTCAAATCTTCCTTTATGTGTGGCATCTCTAAGAGGCAGACACAACTTCCTCTACTTACGGCATCTGCCATAGATCTCTAACTAGAGTAGTACCACTGCTTGAGGCATCTGCCATAGACTTGTAGGAGACGGATTCAGCTCCCTCTACTTAAAAAGGTATTTGCCATAGACCTAAAAAAAATGGACAAAACTTCCTCTATTAGTATCATCCGCCACAGACCTCTAAGAGAAAGACACAGCTTTTGCCATAGATCTGTAGGAGGTAGACACAGCTTCCTCTACTTGAAGCATCTGCCATAGATCTCTAAAAGATGGACACAAGTACCTCTACTTGAGGCATCTGCTATAGACCTCCAAGAGGCAGACAGAGCTTCCTCTTCTTCTTGAGGTGTTTGCCGTAGACCTCAAAAAGATGGACACAGCTTCCTCTTTTAGTATCATCCACCACAGACCTCTAGGTGACAAACACAGCTTCAGCTATTTGGCATCTGCCATGGACCCCAAAGAGAGACACAGTTTTAGCTACTTAGTGCATCAGCCATAGGCCTGTAAGAGACAAACACAGATTCAGCTACTTGGTGCATCTACTATAGACCTCTAAGAGACAGACACAGCTTCAGCTACTTGGTGCATCTACCATGGACCTCTAAGAGACAGACACAGCTTCAGCTACTTGGTGCATCTACCATGGACCTCTAAGAGACAGACACAGCTTCAGCTACTTGGTGCATCTACCATGGACCTCTAAGAGACAGACACAGCTTCAGCTACTTGGTGCATCTACCATGGACCTCTAAGAGACAGACACAGCTTCAGCTACTTGGTGCATCTACCATGGACCTCTAGGAGATGGACACAGCTTTAGCTGTTTATGTATTTGTCATAGACCTCTAGGAGACAGACACAGATTCAGCTACTTGGTGCATCTACTATAGACCTCTAAGAGACAGAAACAGTTTCAGCTAATTAGTACATCTGCCATTGACCTCTAAGTAGAGGAAGACTGACACAGCTTCCTCTGCTTAGGGCATCTGCCGTTGACCTCTAAGAGACGGACATGGTTTTTGCTGCTTGGAGCATCTGCCATAGACCTCTGTGAGACTGACATTTATCACATGCAGATTAAGCTCCAGAGGGACTGTAGACAAAGAGAGCATAGGGGTAAGTAATATGCTGCCTTGTGAATCAGACTCTAAAGGCTGGACTTATATTGCGGCTCAGAGTAACCAGTTTGATTCTTCCATATTGCTCTACAAACACAAGAGGTGAAAAACAATTTGTTACTGCTGTGTTGGAGGGGGATAATGAGCACCCCTGGTACTTATCACACAGGGAGATATTGTGACCCATTAGAAAGTGTCCCTGCTAGTGGATCAGGGCCCTAATATGGACAAGAGTGGTGGATCAAAAGCACTGTGCATATGTCTCTGTCAGCATTATAGAAACATATCCAAAACAGCTATCCTCCATAGGATCAGGCGAAATCTCAATCCTTTGCCTCTTCCTCCATATACTTATAGCATCAATATATACAATTTTGGGGGGTATACTTGAGGCATACAGCTTAATCTTTGTTTAAAAAGTATCATTAATTAAAAAGTTACCTATCCATGTTCACTTCATGAAACACATTTTCCTTAACAATCCACTTCTAGGGTTGCTATTCAGAATACTACAGCCCATTTAGTGCATTCAAAGCTTTTACAATTCCGATAACTTATACTCAATATGTATCCACTATATGCTGTATCCAAGGGCTTGTAGTTTCTTTTCGTCTCCCAACTGATGCGTTTCACACTGTAGCTTCATGAGGGGAGTTTTTTTTTGGGGGGGGTTGGAATATGTTATACTGTCGCCTACAGGAGGATTTGGACACTAGCAAACGAAAATGTTTTTGGCCAGCCATGTATAATTCCTCCCATGCATAGCATGCTTCAGTAAATCACAAACACAGAGGGGTGGGTCCTGTGTCCCGTGTCCATTAATGAACTTCAAGAAATGGATTTTGCAGTAAGAGGAAAAATACTGTTTTCTTATCCTTCATTAAGAGACACAGGATTTGTAGCTATTCAGCTATGAATGGAATGTCCAAACTCAGTCCAACTGGAGGGTGGTAAACACTGCAAACAAAATGCCAACAGGCCTACATAACAAGCAGCTCAGAAAGTTGCCTGATAGGCCGTACGCCACAATTTGTAAAACAGTTGCCTAATGCCTAAAAGCCCAATAAGCTTTTAGTAGTGTGTGCCTTGACAGGAAACGATGGATCCTTGTCCGTAAGACAATAAGTTTGAACAATGAACAATGACATATTATAATACAAGGGAGAATCAAAAAGTAAAGGCAATTTATAAATTACGGGTAACCAGAACAGAGAGAAGCTTGTGCAATGCAGCATATGGACATAGCCTATTGGATAGTTCAACAATGCGCAGTACAGTGCTCAGACCTTAGTCAAGTGGTAGTCACATAAACAGAAACATGGACACTCCATTGCGAGAACAATGTGCCGTAGGGTGCTCTCTTTGGGCACAGGGAGTGAAACAAGTGGAAATTCACCGTTGGATGTTTATTTATTTATGTATTACAGGTATTTATATAGTGCCGACAATTTACACAGCACTTTACATAGTTGCACATTGACATCAGTCCCTGCCCTCTAGGAGCTTACAATCTAAGGTCCCTATCTCACATGCATACATAGAGGGCCAACTTAGAGAGGAGCCAGGTTATACCAGCATGTCTTTAGAATTGGCTCAGTATGGGTCATATCTCCATGAATCAATGAAAGGTGTACGAGTGGGTAGAAAGGTTCAAAGTGGGAAGAACATGTGTAACCAACAAAGCTTGTTCTGGTCCCCCAGCAACATTGTGCAGACAAGACCACAATGACAGAGCGGATGCCTTGACATCCGACTTCTCCAGTGAAAAAGACATTCAAAAGTCAGCCCTCTGCCAAGAAAATCATATTAACGTTGTTTTGGGACATGAAGGGGCCTATTTTGGTGCATTTCAAGCACATGTGCAAACAGTGAACAGTGCAAATGACTGTGAATTGCAAAATAAACTTAAACCTGCAATTTACAGCAACAAAAGGATTTGAACGACTTCCACGTCCTCCTTACAGCCCGGATCTGGCGCCAAGCAATTATCAGATGTTCGGTCCGCTAAAGGAGGCACTGCACAGTCGCAGGTTCACCTCGGATGGTGAAGTAAAGGAATTGCTGCTCACCTGGCTTCAGCAGCAGCCAAAATGCTTCTTCTCGGCAGGAATACAGAAGCTAGTTGAAAGATACAACAAGTGCATCATCTTGCATGGGGACTATGTGGAAATGTGATATGTTTAGGTACCCGCAGTTACTTCTATTAAAGCCGGTAAACGTATTTTGCCTTAACTTTTTAATTATCCCATGTATCAAGAATGATAAAAAGAGAGTTAGTCTTCAGAATGGAAGCAGTGGCAGAAAGGTAAACACGTACAACACAAACCACATCCAGGCAGTGAAGGGAAACCTCATACTGATGTACTGGAGCCGAACAGAGAGATGGAAGAACAATGTCCAGAATTAGGTGAAAGGCTGGTTAGGTGAAACCACCTTAGGAAGGAAGGAGGCTCTAGACTTCAATGCTAACTTATCCAAGTGTTAAACCAACCAGCTCTGACACGTCTTGCAGACGTGATGGCAACAGGAAGCACAACCTTGTGAGCGAGAATGGAAAAGAGAAATATCTCCTTATAGAAGGCCTTACCAGAAGTCGACTTCTTAGCTTTTAAAAGCGTGGGAATTACCAATTCAAATAGACCACTGTCTCTCAAGACCTGGGCTATAGCAGTGGGGGAAAGGATTTCCCTAACTTCAGAGCCATCAAGTCAGAGATAACCTGGTCTGGGGTATCAGATAAATATGTTTGTCTAAAGACTGAACCTTTTTGTCTCACAATGACAGGTTGTTGTGTTGTAGGGGTCTGTAACTGAGAAAATGGGACTGCCTCGAAGCAGGATACCATCAGGCCCAGAACTATTATGCAAAATCCTAGAGTTAGATGAATGCTGGACTGTAGAGTCCGAGTCTGGGAGCGAAAAGTCGTAGGTTGTTCTTGGGGAACAAAAACTCTGGCTTGA